GGGCGAGATCAGCCCGGCAGGGGAGTGCAGTTAGGGGTGATCAGGCAGGCAGGTAGGTGAGCGGTTAGGAGCCAGTGGTCCTAGATTGTGAGAGGGTGCAGGCTGGGCTGAGGGAACCCCCCCTCCCCGGTGCATGAAATTTGTGCACTGGGCCACTAGTTTTAAATAATAGTATTTTCTTTTGTAACGTAAGATGCTTGACTCATTCTATTAGTAATATTTTTATAAGCCCTCCTAAAGAGTTTAGTAACTCATCTTAGGTTTCTAATTTAGATAATGACATTTCTTTCTAAATGTAGTGAAAATTGAGATAGTTACGTGGCAGTGCATAATATTAGTGGCTTAAAACAATAGTGATTTATTATTATTCATGATTCTGTGGATTGGCCTGGCAATTCCTTTGCTGGTTTTGTGTGTCTCATTTATGCAGCTGCATTTACTTTTGAGTGTTTTATGGTCCAACTTCCTTTCTGACTTTTGGTGCTGGCTGTTGTCTAGGCTGGGCAGCAGTCGCCAACCGGTGGTTGCCCGCCATGTTCCATGCCGCCCCCTGGTGGTCAGCGCACATCATAGCGATTGAGCTCCCGCTCTCCTGGTCGAACTCCCGAGCAGACAGTTTGCATATTAGCCTTTTATATATATAGATCATTTTTATAATCCTCACCTGAGGATGTTTTTTTAAATTGATTTTAGAGACAGCGAGAGAGAAACATCCATGTGAGAGCTAAACATTGATTGGTTGCCTCTCATATACACCAGGGGTCCTCAAACTTTTTAAACAGGGGGCCAGTTCACTGTCCCTCAGACCGTTGGAGGGCCGGACTATAGTTTAAAAAAAAACTATGAACAAATTCCTATGCACACAGCGACGGCAAAAACACCCAGCGGGCCGGATAAATGTTTTCAGTGGGCCGCATGTGGCCCGCGGGCCACAGTTTGAGGACCCCTGATATACACCCACCCAAAGTGTATGGGATGATGCTCCAACTAACTAAGCCACGGCAGCCAGTACTCCCCTTAATATTTTTGAAGGATGATTAAAAATCTTAGATGGTTATGCCACCGTTTATTTAGCCATCCTATTGATACCTAAGTTGTTTCTAATTTTGAGATGTTAAATGAATAATTTCAGTGAGTCTGATTACATATACATTTTCTAAATTTTTTTTCTTAAATTTTTATTGACTTCAGAGAGGAGGGGAGAGGGAGAGAGAGAGAGAAACATCAATGATGAGAATCATTGATTGGCTGCCTCCTGCATGCCCCCCACTGGGGATTGAGCCCACAACCCCAGCTTGTGCCATTGACCAGAATCAAACCCAGGACCCTTCAGTCCACAGGCTGATGCTTAATCCACTGAGACAAACTGTGCGTGTGTGTGTGTGTGTGTGTGTGTGTATTTTATTGATTTCCGAGAGGAAGGGAGAGATAGGAACATCAATGATGAGAATCATTGATTGGCTGCCTCCTGCATGCTCCCCACGGGGGATTGAGCCCACAACCCTGGCATGTGCCATTGACCAGAATCAAACCCAGGGCCCTTCAGTCCACAGGCTGACGCTCTATCCACTGAGCCAAACTGTCTAGGGCTAGAGTAATTCTTCTAAAAACAGTTGAAATGGTTTTGAAACTGTGCTTTGGAATTCTCTAAGTTTTATAATGTGCTTTCTATACATAAAATTTAACTACCCAGAAGCACACTCATCCATTGTTAGTGAGAGTATAAGCTGGTAAGGCCATGTTGGAGGGCAATTTGGCTATGTACATCAGCATTTAAAATGTGCATTCCCTTTGGTCCAGTTCATCATTTAGTCAATTATCCTAAACTAATAAAAAAGATGTGTGTGTGTTTGTGTGTGTGTGTATGTATGTATGTATATATATATAAAAGAATTACTCTAATTCTTTAAGGAAAGATTTTTGTTTAAGAAGGTAAATAATGTGTAGTACATAGTATAGAAATACTTATTTGGAGAAGAGTTAACATATACTTTAGAACTCAGTCGTATTAGCTTCAATTAGGAATACCACTGTTCATGATGAGAAGCAATCGCAAAATCTGAGTTTTTATAAAATCAGTCTTTAAAAAATTGTATTTTGTAAGGGTTGTCATTAAGTAGTGTGACCTAATTGTATTTACTTTTTTTTATACACTCAGGATATATCAACCCAAGAAAGCAACATATTGGGGGCATTCTGTGATATGAATGTAAGTTTTTGCCTATTTTCATTCTCAGTTTTATGGAAAATTTTGTGGTGGTCCCCCTCACCCCCATTTATGTGTTTTGAGTTTATTTTTATGTCTGATCAGTATTTTTCCAGTATTGATAATAAAATAAAAATCATTCCTGATTTAGTTTTAAAATAACATTTTCTTTTTTCCCTCAGGATGTAGAAGTACCATTGCATTTGCTTCGTTATGTATGTTTGTTTTGTGGGAAAAATGGCCTTTCTCTCATGAAGGATTGCTTTGAATATGGAACTCCTGAAACTTTGCCATTTCTTATAGCACATGCATTTATTACAGTTGTATCTAACGTAAGTGTTATTTGGAATTGGTTTTACCCTTGAGTATAATGTCTAGATTTTAATAGCAAATTTTATGTACAGAAAAGGCAGGTTTTGAGTGATTTGTATGTAGAATAACTTTTTTTCCCACTATATTTAAAAAAAAATTGAGTACAGAAGCCTCCTTACAGTATTTTTTTTTTATAGAAAGGGTCAAGATCTCTTTTATTTAATTTATATACTACCTTCTTATACTAACAAATAACCAGAATTAAAAAAGAATTTATTAAAATCCAGAAAGCACTTCTGTGGTGAATAATAATACTGTTTCAGTTTCTTAGGGCAATTGTGACAAAGGTACCATAAACTGTGTGACGTAAAACAATAGACATTTATTCTTTCATGGTTCTGGAAACTAGAAGTCATAAATCAGGTGTCAGCAGTTAGTTCCTTTTTTTGGAGGTTCTTAAGAAGTATTTGGTCCTGTCTCACAGCATCTGGTAGTTGCTTGCAATCCTTGATGGTCCTTAGCTTATATAGAGATGTATCACTGCAATTTCTGCCTCCATCTTTACATGGCTTTCTCCTCTGTGTGTTTGTATCCAAATTTCCCTCCTCTTGTAAGGACACTAGTCATTGAACTAAGGTCTACCTTAATCCCATGTGACCTCCACATTACTTGATTATATCTTTAAAGCCTTCTTAAAATCTTTATTATAATAAAATTGAATTTGTATAAATAATTGAATTTAAGTTGAATAGGTAAATTTAGCCATTTACCTCTTATCTGAAATAATAAAAGGCTAATATGCAAATCGACCAAAAGGTGGAACGACCAGTGGCTATGATGCGCACTGACCACCAGGGGGCAGATGCTCAACGTTGGAGCTGCCCCCTGGTGGTCATTGTGCTCCCACAGGGGGTGTGCCTCTCAGCCAGAAGCTGGGGTCATGGCTGGCAAGCGCTGCAGTGGTGGCGGGAGCCTCTCCCACCTCTACGGCAGTGCTAAGCTGTCAGTTGGACATCGTCCGAGGGCTCCCGGACTGTGAGAGGGTGCAGGCCGGGCTGAGGGACCCTCACCCCACAAGTGCACGAATTTCGTGCCCTGGGCCTCTAGTCTGAAATACAAGATAGGCAGCTATGCAAAAAAAGAAGATTTTAGCTTTTCTTGCCTGGGTTTTTTTTTTTTTTTTTTGAACTGGGAAATTATCAGCAAAGAAACTTATTTTATCAAGTTAAGGTTCAAATCTGATAATATTCTCAGCCTATGCATTTATTTTAATCTCAAAAACTTGCTTCAGCAGTTCTTAACTAACACTGTTTAGCAGATTTCTCAGTTTTGCACAAATATTACTCCACTACTATATGGATCCATTCTTAGTAATAATGGCTGCAGTCACAGGAGAAAAACAACAAATTTCTTTGAGTATGTTGTTTTCTTACTTTTTTTGGGCCTTTAGGTTTTCAGCAAAAGCAGCACAGGTTAGAGAAGTAGAATGTAGCGTCCTCATAGGTGTTTCCCCACTGTCATCCAGGGTGAGTTATGCTTGGTTTTAACTTACAGTATCCTATCTCAGCCCTAGCTCTTTGCTTGAGTTAGTCATCTCAGACATACTAAACTACCTTTTATTAAAGAATCCACTAGAGCCATGGGATTTATTTCACTAAGAAGTATAAATGAGGCTTAATAAAGAAACCTCATGAATATATGCTTTAGAAAACAAATATGAGAAGTTATTAAGAGATGTAATCAGAGATATAAACTTGTAGTGGTTATAGCAACACATCCAGTGGACATAGTAACAGTTGTAGAACTCTGAGTCCTAAGACTACATTTACAAAAATACTAGTAAGGACTATTTAATATCAGAACTTAAGCTAGAATACATTTTCTCGTATTTCTATACTAGACAAGGAGAGTAGGTTGACAGTTCTGTCAAGTTTTAATTTCTCCATTTTTTGTCAGAACTAGCAGAATACTACCTGCTTTTCTGCTATTATAGGGGAGCATGGAACAATTTTTCTATTTACTGAGTTTTTAAACATGTACTTAGTAGGGCTACTAGATTTACCAACAAGAGGGGGAAAGAACAAAACTTCTAATTCTTAGAGAGATTTCTGATGGAAGGTATAGTACTATCTCGTTGTTTTTTTGTTTTTTTTTCCAACCTTGTTTGAAACTAGCCCACAAACTACAAGCACTGTGAGGCCAGCTTCACTATTACTTTTCCTCCTTTACACCCAAGATCGGTGTTCAGATCCGATGGGAAAGGGAACCGGAGGGTCAGGTTGTTTTCAACATCTAACTTTACCTTATTCTAAAACATAGGGGCAGCAACAAGCTGGTATCCTCTGCTATGTCATTATCAGACACTGCCAGGAGACATGGAGGCAATCTACAGAAAAAAAGTGTGAAAGCTCTAAACCAAAAAGTTGATTCAGTACATCCACCTGCATGGACCCAGGTGGAAGGCTCCCAAGCCCAGGTCCAGAGATATAGGAAAGGCGAGTGGCAGCTGCAGGTATTATGCTGACCTGAACTGTCAAAGTCTCTCCAGGTTGCTCTTGCATGCAGTTGGAGATATCTCGTGGTTTTAATGACTAAAGAGATTGACAACCATTTCAGAGGCATATTAGCCTCTTGGATATTTTTTGAGAAGTACTGTGTAAGTCTTTTACCTGTTTTTCTTTTAAATATATTTTTATTGATTTCAGAGAGGAAGGGAGAGAGAGAAACATCAATGGGAGAGAATCATTGATTGGTTGCCTCCTGGACACCCCCCACTGGGGATACAGCCAGCAACCCAGGCAGATGCCCTGACCGGGAATCAAACCGTGACCTCCTGGTTCATAGGACGAAGCTCAACCACTGAGCCATGCCGGCCAGGCAGTCTTTTACCTGTTTTAAAAATCAAACTGTCTGTGTTTTTTTTTTTTTAATTAAATTTTTATTGTTCAGATTATTACAGTTGTTCCTCTTCCCCCCCCCCCCTCTTGAAGTCACTTTAGCCGGTGGACTTAGAAAAAAGTGAATTGACAGCCCTGAAGAGGCTTTTTTTATGTACTTTAATCTTAACTAGGTCAACAATTGCCTGCTGACTTAATTATAAGTAATTATGCCCTCATAATCCCAGAATCTCTTAGGACGAAAAACATCACTATAAAAACAACTAAATAAAGGAACACCAGATTATAGAGGAAACAGTCCGAATCATAGATCATCAACAGCACTAAATGGAAGGATGTTTATCCCATAGAAGGACGCGACATTAGTTCGTCATCATGGGTATCATGATCGCACGACACTAAATTGAAAGATAGCGATAAAGATAGATGTAAGGTGAATAGAAAGTATAAATCGTATATTCCATTCGTGAGATTAAAGATGTACTCTAAAGTGACCTAATAACGAGGTGATTGTCAACTACTCCCTCCTACCAGAGATTTGATCATGGAAGGTAATCTATGATTCGTCCATCACCTTG